TATATATATATATTATATATATATATATATATATATATACATATATACATACATACATACACAGGATATCCGATAACTGATCGAGCAACCGCCGTGTACGGATAGAACGGGTCAAAATAATCATAAAAAATATTATATTATAGAATTGTATATTATAGAACTATATATTATAGAACTTATCAAAAATCTTGAATATTTAACTTAGAGGAGTTTAAAAATTGAAATGAGATATATATATAAAAAATCAACTAATATCTCAGTTTCCGAATAGTCAATTTTTTCTCCGATGTAGATATCCAAATAGTATTTCCATTAATATGCATTTACAATTTAAAAAAATCCATAAAAAAATAATTCACCATAGCTACCTTAAATCTTCATCTGTGATTTTGAAACACTTCTTATATTATGATTTGTGGTCAGGAAGTGATAAAATAACCACATCCTGAATTATTAAAATAATCTCGGGTAGAGAGAGACGAAGTAATTCAGAAGTATATTAAATACTTCGCATTGTGTATAAGAGCTGCATAACAATTATTACATTCAAATGTAACATTGCTAAAACAATGTAATAGTATAAACTAGAAGATGTGCAAGTAAAAGAAATATATATATATAAAAAAGTATGTGTACAACAATACAATAAAGTGCGATAAAGATACAAAATAAATACGGTCTGTAAAACATACTGATACATAAAAATATAATAAAGAAACAAGAAGCAAGATCTACTGAAAGTATCATGACAACTAAGTTTGCGATCAAGCACAAAGACTCTTCTGTTTTAAACGAAAACAAGTTACTGCAAGAAAAGAAGTGCCAGAGCTATAAGCAATCCGACCTGAAGAAATGCGGACAATTGTCTTTTGGTTGGTCAATCTTAAGTGTCTTCGTGGTTTATTGGTTTATTCTGTGTCCCTTAATTTTGGCAATATGCGATACGTCGAAGACGCATTGGCTCTCATATTGGCCTTTTCTTTTCTGGATAGTTGCGTTTCTAATATGGGTCATGATCATGTGTGCACTTGTAATCTCTTGGAGATATTTACAGACTCGACAAGATCCCGAAATCAGTCTTATGACTTCAAAATATGGTTCGGATGATATGGCAAAACTTTTAAATGCTCATCAGATATCTTCAAGAAATGCAAATTTTCCCGAAACAAAAAAAACAAATAATCTGTCAGATCAAGAAGCAAAGAATGATTCTGATAATTTTCGTAGAAAAGATTTATCACCTCTGGTGATACATAAACAAATGTTCGGTGAAAACATCGATGATATTGGTGTTGTGCACGTTGAAAAGGATGAGAATGAGCTGAATGATGCCAATGATTACATCGAGAAAAGTTCCTTGCAAGACTGTTCGAAGATAGTAACCGTATTGTCTTCAAAGGATGAAGTAAAGTCGCCGAAATCTCCGATGACGCCAAGAGAATTGTTTTTCATCGATCTGATTCGTGAAGCGGAAAAAGCTGAGAACACAAAATGTGATACAGAAAAAGAAGAGGAAATAAAGAAGAACACAAATATAACGAACGGAAAGGATATAGAAAATATTGAAGATGAGAAGAATGAGAAGATAAGTAGAAATATGAAGTGCGAATCGAATTACTTTATAGCAGATGTGGAGAGTCCAGTTAACGAAAAAACGGAGGTTTTTCTTCAAATCGATTCGAGCGTAGAGGAGCAATTGGAAATAAACGTGGAAAAACCAATTTTAATATTACAATCCAACAAAGAAAATGTATAAAAATTATCCATTTTACGAGCTAATTTGATTATTAATATAATTATAATAATTAAAAAAACAAAAAGTTTGACAAAAAAGAAAAATCTTTGATAAGAAAAAATGTTTTGAAGAAATGCTATTATAAGAATAAAGAAGATAATGTTATTAATAAATAAATTTATTGAATCTTCTATATATTTATTTTCTATTATCCTTCTCCTCTTTATTCACTCCTCTGCAAATACTATGGCTATTATCTTATATGTATAGATATATTTTTTGTTCAATTTAGAGTCTATATAATATTTAAATGATGTAACATCGGAAATTTGAAGATACTAAGATTGTAAGTAAAATTCTATTAAGATAATCCCTTTTCCAGATGATTGTTGTTTACTACCAAATCAAATCATGATTCCACAATTGCACCAGGGTAACAGTATAACCGCTATAGTTTCACCAGTTTTGTTTTATCAGAATCTTCCACTACAGGTAAAAACTGTACAGAAATTTCAATTATTTCTTCAACTAAATCTCCATGTCATTTATTAAAAGTATTCAAATTTCTATTTAGTATCATATTCACATATTATTTTCTTTTTTTTATAATAATTTATGGTTATAGCTGGAGTATGGAGTGGAACCAGAACAATTATTTTTTACACCCGAAATGAATCCTGTTGAAGGTTGCATGCATAGTGGCCAAATTGTAGATACTATTCGACACTTATATCTGGGGAAACAGCCACTTTTAGTAAAGCAATGCACGAGGTATTATCGTTTTAATAATTATAGCAATGAATAAAAAGAATGTGGACATTTCTATTCTACATTTTGATAACATTATAATTATACTCTCCGTTATATTTTCAGATGCGGTGGTAAAGCGCAAGTACAAAATATGACGAGAACAGCTGCAGTTAGAGCCTGGGACCAAAGATGGACGCGAGCTTGTCGTTGCGGCGGTACTTGGCGAATTCACAAAGCCTGTTAGTGAATTTTTTTCGATTATTTGAAAATTCATATTACAAAATGTCAAAGTATCAATAACAATATGTATCTAAATTGAGTATTCCGTCCGCCGTACAAAATTCGAAATTATCCAGTCTAGATTTTTGAAATTAATTTATTTTGCTATTTTTCTTACAATACTTGAAATAATTAAAAGGAGACTTTAATTACTATGGATATCTTATTATTATTTTACAGCGTTATTGATTAAAAATAACGTATGTTTTAATCTTCGATAAAAAAGGATCTTTGATTAAAAAAAAAATTAATTTTCGAATAAAAAGGAAAAATGTGAGAACAGGAGGTTAATTTCGTTAAGACTCCTGGCCTCTCGTCGCGTAATTTTTGATCGATAATGTCAAAAGCGAAAAATGCATGCCCAAAATGTTTGCGAAACATCTTAAAATAAAAGGATATTTCCATAATGTGACACTTGGTATCGATTGATCAAATTTTAAAAATATTCTACAAACTTTTCTTTTGCTTTAATAATCAATAAATAACCATAAAATTAACGTGATATGCAATCTTCTTTTTTAAAGTAAAAAATAGAACAATATTCATATTGGAAATAAATAATGATGAAACTGGATTATGACTTCAGAGTTATAGTGGGTAGTAGAGCGTAGAGGTTAATGCGGTTTAATGTTACATACAAAAATCTTTTCAATGCAAACGTGACGTTTCGGTTGATTAATCAACTTCAATGCAATATATATTTCGCAAATCGGAATACGAAAAATACTAATATTAATATAATATCGGAAGATATACTATAGGAGGGGAAAAATGGTGTTAGTGCTCAATTTAAGCACGTACAATCTTGTAAAAACAAGTCCAAAAGTGTTATGTCTGCAGTTGATAGTAGACAAAAGTGATAGTCAGAAAAACAAATGTTATTCACCCAAAAGTTTCCCGACAGGTGGAAGAGAGTCAATAAGAAATAGAGGTTAAAGTAAAAAATCACAAACCAGCATAAAAATAGCATAATAGAAGAGCAATCAAAAGTTAAAAACATGTAAGCACAGACAACACTCTCCAACGTTATGAAGTCTTATTGATCTTTCCCTATATATTTCTTTCTTTAACCTACTTTTTCTCATGATTTTGCTATGTTAATTTTATTGATTTTATTGACTGTTAGAGTAAAAGAAAAGTTTTCAGAATATTTTACAAATAGGCTTAATTGTTCTAAATCTTATTTTATGGATATTATATCCCTTTATTTCAACGTGTTCCGCAAAAATTTTAGACATACGTTTTTTCGCTTCTAATGCCATTAATCATAATGGCCACAGCGAAAGCACAGGAACCTTAATTAATAATAAATATTACGAATAAATTTGCATAATAACCAAATGAAACTTTATTACGAGCGCACGGTTGTTACATTAGATCTTGTAAACAGAAAATAATGAAACGATGAAGGAATGTTAGTACGTAAATTGAAATTCCGAATAAAATAGGTCGTTCTTGTAGAAAACTCTTTTAGTGGCTCTCTCCTTTTTTGCCAGACACTCTTTTAAACTCTCCCATATTGGTAGTTGAGATCGGTGAGCCGATTATAACTAAATGATCGATTCTTGTTGTTTCCGAAGCGTTCTGATTGTCTATCACAAAGATTTGAAGATTTTGCACATTCTGGAACTTAACGTAGCGTAGAGGAATTTGATTTCCTTCTTCAAGATCCTTAGCTGATAACCTGCACCAGAATTACATCAGAATTACATAAATTATTTTGTTTTTATTTTAGAACATCTGTATTATAAAGAAATTGTTTTAATCTATTATTGCTCCAAAAATTACTGAATTACAAATCCATATTATTTGTTGTCCACATGAAAAAAATGATTTTGAAATAATGTTTTAAGTTGACCTAATTTGTACTTTTAAGGGTATCTGTTAATTTTTGAAAAATCAAAAACACTTTTCTTATGTATTTCTCTCGTGAAAACAACATTTTTAGTTACTGTGATCCTCACTTAAGAGATCATATTAGCTGCGAATGCATGTTCAGAGCTTACGTTAGATCTTGAATACTCGTATTGGAATTCGCCATCTCAAAGTCGATCGTCCTGGGTTGATTGATAAACAGTTTAATATTTTTCGGTCCATTCTCCGTAGGTGCTTTGATTTTAAGCGAGTAAATCTTGACAGGCTGTGAGAACGCAATAGACATTATCAACTGTTCATCCTCGTCACTTTGTAGGTATCCGCTATCCGAGTTCAAGCACTGAGAAAAAGTGTGATAATCCGACTCGTTCAAACATTCACATTGTTGTTTCGTTATAAAACAAGATAAATCCATCTGGAAAGCAACCGAAATTCCTCAATGAAATATAACATTAATTAAGTGAAATATAACATTAATTAAGTGAAAATAAATGATATCCTTGTTTTTCTTTCATTTCTTATGCTAAAAGTAGCAAAGTAAAATGGTCGTCTGTAAGCATCTTTGCATTAAAGCTTTTATTTAACACTATATTTCATTATACTTGTAATGGCATATATTAAAGAAAACTTTTTTAAATGTTTATATCTATCCTTTTTCGGATGTTTGACCTGATTTTATCTAACTAAATCTATCTTTTTATATCAATTAAAAAATTTTCTATATTTATCTTCTTCTATATATGTACGCACGAGAATAAATTTGAAAAAGTATTAATTCTAATCATAAAATTAAATAAAAAATGATCATCACTTAGTTTAATTTTATAGAATCACAAGTTGAATTCTACTTCTATTTTATGTAATTATATAATTATGCAAAATATTGGACAAAATGTTTTTTTCAACTGTAGTTTTTTAAATATTTTTAAGTAGCTTTCAATTTTTATCAATATCAGTTATTAGTACTACATAATTATGATATTATTAACATTAATTAACTTTAAAATACTAAAAATATATTATGATTGTACTAATTAACATTATTGTAATTCTGATTTTTATTAAATCTTTATTTAATTATAAAATTAATTGATTTATTCGTATTATTGTATGTGATAAAAATATATAAAGGTTATTATATATAAGTAAGTAAATATGTATACGCGCGAATGCGCGTATGTATGTGTGTTGTAATTATATTATTAACAATAACGTTAACATTAACATTAAGGTTATATACACAAATCTATTATGAATTAAAACTAAAAATAATTAACATTTATATAAACAGTTAGAAAAACAAAGAAATTACAAAATTAGCAGCTAATTATTAAGTCATACAAATATTGATATTTTTATATTTATGATCTACATAATCAAAAAACACAATGCAATAGTTTCAATTTTATGGAAACAAAAGATCATTATAAGTTTAATATTTCCAGCTTTAATTTGATATATTCTCAAATTTTTTAAGATAAAATTTCAACTGCATATACTATTGTGTATGCTCTGAGTTCCTTAATTGTCTCTCTTTTTTTCCATATAGTTGTGTCAAAATACGCCATACAAGTTAACAAAAACAGAGATATAAAAAATATTCGATAAAATAAATGTAATTTATTTACATATTCTTTTCACAAAAAATGTTATATTAACGTTATATTAACCCGTAAATCACAAATTAATTAAATATTTATAACAAAATTCCTGATCAAAGTTTGTTTCCCCTATCATAATTTTTCCTAACAATACACACATTTATTTCTTGGAAAAATTAATTTATACTGATTAGAAAAAATTAAGAAAGATTAAGAAATGTGTCAACAAAAAAAGTTTTAAATGCATGAGTAGATACTTAAACATTACTTATGTTTTATTAGCAAAAATGTAGTAATTATGTGTGGGAAGGGGTACACAGTGAAATCTGTGGAAGTTGAGGAAATTTAAAACGAGTTTATGTAGCCAAATGAATTTCTGTAGAAAATTTAAAATTTTATCTGCAATTAATATTATACAGAAGGTAATATCAAGTTTTTCATTGGTACTTATTCCAGTAATAGAAAATTATAGTAAGAAAGAATATTCCAAAGATATGATAATAGGGATTATTGGTGCCCCCTACATGTCCAGATGCAGAATCTACGACCGAATCGTCAGTTTCGTTGGAGTCACCACTGCCGTAGAACTGTTGGATTTTTGATTCCAGCCCTGTTGGATCTGCACCCTGACATTGACCTAGCTTTGCACGTTTACGGTAAAAGATGAATGTAGGCATTGCATGTACATCCTGCATTGCAGCGGTTTCTCTACATTTGTCCACATCTACCTTCAGAAATACTGCTTTGGAGTATTTCAGGGATAGTTGCTCAAAAACAGGAGCAATTCTTTGACAAGGCCCACACCTGTACAATTGAATCAAGTAATACATATTAATAACAATTGATACTTTTCGAAAATTCAAATTAATTATCTAAAGCTTAGAAATATAGATCTTTAGAAAGTCTGGTTTAGAGTATGATTATTTTAATGGTTTCCCTCCTCTCTCTCTCTCTCTCTCTCTCTCTCTCTCTCTCTCTCTCTCTCTCTCT